ACCCAGTGGGTGGTCTCGTGTGCCCCACAGGGTTCATACACTCCACTTCAGAGATCGCCTTACCAACCTTACAAGAACTAGGATAAGAAGCCTGAAGCCAAATTTGCACAATGGCTGCTATTTTGTTTGTATATCCACACCAATCAGTTATTTATTCAATCTATTTCTATTACTCTGAAGAATTTAATGTGCCTGTCAGATTTAAAGTAGATAACACCCAATTAATTCAACAATGGTGTTTGCAAATAATGTAAATGAGCATTAAAGGCACCACCTTTAGATCTGACATGTTCCAGGAACTCAATGGAAAAACAAAAAGGAAAAATTACCTTTGTGTTATTGGGTAATTGATTTTTTTTTTTTTTTTTTTAGCTTTCAAAGTAGATAAAATCAACACCTTAAAAGACTTATCTTTAACCTAGGCTTTCTTTTATTAAAGTGTACAATTGCAGGTGCATGCCTAGAGGAGTAATAGTTTCTTCTTAACAAAAGAGTCTGGATGCCACAATACGCCTTTTGCCAGAGGCATCGTTCCCCAAAGCACACAACTAACTGCATCTCCTGCTGTACCTGTAACCATTTAATTGTATAAGTCAGCCTAGTCAAGCATCTCCAGCTCATGACTGCGAGACATGAAATTCATTGTCATTATTGTCCCTGTCATTTTGGATCATTATATCCTGCTGCAAAATTTTCCTCACTTCAGTGCATTTTTACCTCCAGGAGTCAGGGATTATAGCTGAGGTTGGGGTGGGGGCAGGACCATGAACTACATTTACCTCAGGGGAGCCAGAGATTAAATTGGCTTTGCTCTCTCTCACGAGCCGAATTCATCTATTTGTATGCTGTGAGTTCTAGGTTGGAATAAAAATGAATATTCTAATCAAACCTAGGCTTTAATTCCCCCTTTGAAACATAGATATAACCAACTTTTATTTACATTAGGAAAGCTAAGTAATTCCTTGTAGGTTGCTACTTTCATATGTGCATAAGGGATACTTACAGGCACCATCGGGTATGAAATAACAGACATCTCCCTCTGAATTCCTGACTGTCAGAAGGAAGAATTTAAAGCTGTAATTTTGTTCTCCGGTTTTATCTTAGAGAAGCTTAATAGGGGCATTTAATGGTTTTAAATATTTAATAATGTTTAATTATATCTCATTTTCTGTGCACTGGATTGGATGACTGGAGTCCAGCTAGAAAGGCATCAAAGATCTACTGTGGGAACAGGAAGACAGAAGTAAAGTTGACAGAGGAAGCAAAATAAGGTCCTGAGGAAACTGACTTCCACTCCACAGCTGGTTCACATAATCTCACAGCCTGACAGGTCACTCAAGCCTGTCATGCCTTAAATACTTCTTGCTGACTTGGAAGATCTGGACCATATTCTACCTGGTAACCCCCTTATCAGTGGTAATGGCCATGGCCAGGGGTCAGCTGACAGCTCTCTGGTAGGAGATTGGTAGGAGATGGCAGGGAGCAACTAGGAAACACTAGTACATGTCTCAGTCAGAAAAGCAGTGAGTTGACTGTGTATTTTTCTCTAACAGAATATAAGAAGAAAATATAACCTGCTATGCCACTTCCTATCTCAACTTTCATTTCATATGGATTTTACTGAGAAATTTGACATTTACTTTGTCTGCACTGAAAAAAAAAAAAAAAGATAGTTATTCCTCTTTATGTGTTTCTTTTTCAGCACCTAACAACCAAATGTGGCAACAGGTCATATCTATGCTGAGCATAGAATAGCCATTATCATTACTATATTTAAAAGAATGTAGAATTTATTTTATTGCTTTTATGGACTTTTGTAGAGGAATAGATTTTGCCTTAATTATATGCAATGTCTATTACTATTTATTTAGGATGAACTATTCTTACGAGTAATTAAGAAAAAATTTTGACCTTTGTATATTTTGTACTTCAGAGGGAACATCTTACATCTCAGTGTTGAAGGAACCTTAAAGATTGTCTCAGCCACTGGTCCAAATGAATGGTAATGTTTAATAGTCTGTCTGACTATATTTTCATATCAATATATTTCACTTTTCATTGGTGCTAAAGTAACTCCATAAATGTATTATCAATAATAGTTTTTAGTTGACAAAATTACTTGTAGCATTTTTAAGTTCTTTTAATTACTTATGGCACTTTTTTTATAAGACTCTCCCAAGGTGGGAGTTACAAAAATTGTTATTTCTGTTCATTTTTAAAGGGTTAATTTTATGTTATATTAATTTTATCTCAGTAAATTATTCTTTAGGTATATAAAAAAAACAAAAACAAACAAACAAAACACACACACACACACAAAGGTTATTTCAAGAAGCCCAAATGCATTTTCAAATCGTTTGGGTGACTGTTATTACATTCTCCTAATGGTTATTTATGAAGAAAAATATTTGCGTCTTGTTTAAAAAAGGTTTATCTTGTAAATTACAATGTATGGACCTTGTTTACAATGGTAAATGTTCATGAAGTTATTTTTTTCCTGACATACTTTGGTAACAGAATGACATTATTTTTTGGTCAAGGTGTAAGGCATTTCTTCCTCTCTCTGAGCACACATTTACTGCACTTAATTTCTTTACCTCTATGCTCCTTTATACCTTATTTCCATATTGATATTTAATTTGCTCATCACACCGCCAGGTAAAACAAGTTGCCCTACCTGCAAATACAGTTGTGAAACCACAGAACTAAACTTGGTTTCATATTCTTGCTTGCCTTACCTGAAGCATGACATAGTTGGGCCTGTATTGTTTGCAAAGAAGGAAAAAGAGAATTTATTTATTTTAAGTAACTAGAATACAATTATTTTTACCCTTTCTATTTAAGACTTAAGATTTTAAAATAAATTTTCAGATAGCAGAGTGAAATGGATTAAGAAATACCAATTACCAGTTATAAAAATAGTCACAGAGATGTAAAGTACAAAATAGGGAATGTAGTCAATAATACTGTAATAACTATGTGTGGTGTCAGATGAGTACTAGACTTATCAAAGGGATCACTTCATAGGGAATATAAATGTCCAATCACTACGTTATATATCTGAAACGAACATAATATTGTATGTCAACTGTAATTAAAAAACAAATCTAAAATAAATAAATATTAAAACGTTTATTTTTAAAAAGCCAACTATCAATTTGAAGTTATTTTAAATAATTTTTACATTTTAAAAATAATTTTGGCTAAACTCATAATTTTGTGACCTGCAACAAGCTATAAAAGCCAATTTAGATTTGAGAAATTCTTCTTTCTCTTGATTTTAATATGATAATGTTTCTTTTGCATATGTGACATAGATTTCCCTTGTTTTTTCTAAGTAGAATCAGTAAAACTCTATAATTCATAACAATATCATACCAATATAAGACAGGACACCACAAATTCAGAAACGACATCCACTAATAATCCTTTTAAGGAGATTCAGATATGCACAAGCTAAAAAAAAGTATGGCACATGATAAAATGACCAAGAGTTTGAGAAGGCTTGTGCAGGAGAGACTAGTAAGAAGAGGCTAAGAGCACAACACTGCCATGTCTGGATGAGTAGGATGCCATTTGCAGAATGCCTTTTTACTCCTGGACCAAACCCTCTTCAATATAATCATCCAATAAGCGACTATAGATTATTAGCATTAAGGGTCTGATGCTGAGAAAGCAAATTTAGATTCACAATTAACGTTGTCTTTTAACATGTAGGTTCAACCAAAGGCACCAAAAATGTAGTTAAGCGCCCCCCGCCATGGTGTTGAGATACTGGCAGGCACTATAAATTGGGAATTTCCTAGCATTTAAAGTTTGTCTAAGACCTTAATTTTTTCCTAACATTGTTGCTCCTAGGACATTGTCTTGAGTTTGTCCCCGTTGCTCCCTCTGCACATACACATTTTATATTCATATCTGAAAGCTCGATAGCTAAATTGATTCAGAAACCTAACAATGAAAAGAAAAAAAGAAAAAGGAAAAAAAAGGAAGGAGTATCCCTGAGGATATATTATAATCTGAAGTACAATTATCGGTCTCCTGAAAACCTCTCAAAATAAACATTTCTTCATGCTAAGAGTTTAGATATCTAACATGAAATACAAAAGATCAAACGGTGATTAATAAAATTCACTGAGCTACAGCATCTACGCTGTCCTTTGTGTCACAAAATTTGACTTTTTGAACATGTACAATTATCTGTGTCCAGCTATTTCCC